GTCAACAATATTTCTTTTTGTATAAATTTTTTGCACACAATTTCTTTCATACAGAGCTCGCAAAATGTTCATAAATACATCATATGCTTTGTTCACATCAACATACACATCATTCCAGTTTTGTTTTCCCAAATCGTTCTTTAATTTATCCTAAGCTTTTTTTTTTATGTTTGTTTGTTTTTCCTTGACTGTAACTACTTTTGTACTGTTTTGATCATTTTTATGAATTGTGAAAACTGGTGAGTGATCACTTACATCATTCATCAAAATACCACCCATTACTTCACCACTTGTTATATTTGTGAAAATATTAATTACTGTAGTGCTGTGGGTTGTGATACTTGTAGGTTTTGTTATTAATGGATAAAGATAAAAAATGTGCATTGAGTTTATAAATTTACCAATATTATTTGAAGCTGTTTTATTTCCCAGGTCAATATTAAAGTCTCCACATAAAACAGTTTTGTTAGAACAATTTTCCAGTAACTCCATGATTTATCAGTGAATGTCTCTATATTTGATCCTGGTGAATGATATACACAGCTTATTAATGTATTAGTAGAATTCTTATTTATTATTTCAATTGTTATTTCCATAATATCTAAATTTAATGACATTTTATTATTTAATTTACATCTTATTTAATTTCTAATTAATAGAGCCACTCCACCCCCTCTTTTATTGCTTCTATTCATGCTATACAGATTATACCCCTCAGTGTTAATGTTACTTCTACGTTCATCATTTAACCATGTTTCTGTTATGTTAAATTTTCTGTTATGTTGGATAAATATGCATTTGTACTCCTATTAAAATGAATGATGGAGAAACCTGTTTTTGTTATATTATTAAATTGTTCTKCATTATAATARTCCATCKGACTGTTCTCRACATGGGTTGTGCGCACRGCTCCCCATTTCAATACTTTKTTAACTTATTATSAAGAGTTTGTTCTCATTTTCACATCATTGTACAAGTTATGAAGTGTACTGCCTTTGGAGAATACTTCACCAACATAAACATCAAGTAGATAAACTCCAGCCTTCAGCTTGCGAGCGTGCGCGCATCGTCAGCTGAGCGCTGCACAACAAAACTGAGCCATGTGGATCTGGTGACTTATAAACAGATTTAGTCCTGATCTTAATGCCATCGGTTTTGTCTGTGCCTCTGTCGGTATCTAGACAATAAGGCAATAAGTATGCCCACTCCTGCTCGGCACCTCTCAACAGGGGCAACTCCAGAGTTAGAGTGTCAAACCCCTCTCAAAGAGACTGGTTCCAGAGCGATGTGTTGAGGTAACTCCAACTATATCTAGTCGGGACCTCTCAACCTCACACACCAGCTCAGGCTCCTTCCCCACCAGAGAGGTGACATTCTATTAGAGGTGTGCCAAAAAAAATCGATTCACATAAGAATCTAGATTCTCATTTACTACTAGGGGTGTAAGAANTGCCAATACACAACCCTAATTACTACGATTCAAAATCGATTTAAAATTTCCCAAAATCGGTTCTAAAAAAATAAAACAAATCTGCTGAAGTCTTCCCTGAAGTTGCGGTGAACTCTCACGTCATTACAAAATTACGTGAGACTTCACCACGCAGCAGGTTCTCGGACATACGCATGCGAGGAAAGTTTCAAAACAAATGGAGGAAAGAGAGATTCAACAGGTCCCGTCTTCGTTGAAGGCAAAAATATGGATACATTTTGGTTTTTACCGAATTCCGGGGAAGACTGAGCTTGACGTGAACTTTATAGTGTGCAAGGTTTGCAAAATGAAGATCAAATACTTAGGGAC